ATATTGGAGAGAGCCGAATATTTATCAAATGTCAAATTTGAAGTACCTAATGGATATGAATTCTGGAACCATATCACTAAATGGCTCTCCCAAAACGGAAGAAACGCTACAATTCAGGAGGAGTCTTTCCGTCATCCTTGTGCAATGGCATCGCCTATGTCTAAGATGTACTTGTGGTTAGCAAGAGCATGAATAAGGGGCGTAGCCAGAATGGTGTGGGTATGGGTGGGGGTGTGGATGGGTGTGGGTGTTCATCTCATCCACACGCATACCCCACAACCACACCCACACACCACCCACACCCTTGGTATGAATTTATGACATAAATATCCTTATTTTGGAAGTCAGCAATTCCGTGTTAGGAAATTGTTCTTATTCAATATAATTCGTTCTATGTGTATTTCACCGAATATAAGAATGAAAATCATAGTGAAAAATTTCACAATAAACAAAAGATGTACAACCAGAAAAGTTTTGATTTAATGATGACCCATGTAAAAAACAACTCAAAATTATATTAAAATCGATTATTTTCGGGTAAATAATCTATTATAATGACACTATTTTAATCTAATTAAAATCAGATAAAAATGAGATGTGGGTGCGGGCGTGGGTGTGTCGGTGAGTGTGTGGGTGTGGATCTTCTGGTCATCCAACCCACACCCACACCCCAAACCCACACCCACACCCACACCCTTCAGTTATTTATTCTTGCAAGACAGTAATTTTTTGGCTTTAGACCGTTCAATTTTGTATCAATATTTGAGTGCATTGGTTGCTCTCTTTGCCTTAGATTATAGGTTTAACGCAACGACGGTTTTGTCAATGAAAAGAATATTGAAGTTTTTGTCTCAATTGTTGGGTGAAGAAAGAATAATATCAGACTCGGCGAGTCGTATGGAACGTTTATTTCATGATGACAGTGACGAACAAGTATTTTTTGATAAGGTTTTTGCTAGCTTTGAAAATGATGATGAATCGAACCAAGCTCATGGAAACGACAATTTTTCTGGGGATATTGATTTTATTATTTGCTGTGCGGTAAAAAGTTTAACGTCATCCGAACATTCACAACGATTATCAAAACAAATAGATACTTTTTTTATATTTATCGTCGAGTTGCAGAATACAATACTATGGCCAAAAGATCTGGCTATCATCTGAAAGAATTTCAAGAAAAACTACTTCAACAATTAGGAAATGTGTTCAAATTAACGAAAGGTTCGGAACCAATTCTTTCTGCGACAAGCAAAGATCTGATAAAACGAATGGATATTCAACAACATCTGGCCACAATCACAGAAATTGAAGATACACAGAGATTGCATATGTTTTTTGCCCTTTGCAAATTATCATTTCAGTCATCGTTAATGATCAATGATGACGTTGGTCTGCGATGGATCGATATACTATGCAAAATACGTCGGTGGAACGTGTCACTGGAAAATTTTTCTTCGAAGTACATAGAATATAAACTGGCGTTCGAGCATTATCCACTCGATATATCAGCGTTAATTTTTCTAGTACGGGAAATCGGTCCAACAAAAAGTGCTGACATATTGCCGTCTATTTTTGTCATTCTTCTGGATGAGCTAAAATTAGACTATAAAGATTTTTTCGACCAATTTCTGATTATTTTCAGTAATGGTATAAAGAATAAGCTTTACGAGTCTTCACACGTTGGGAAACTGCTTCGAATACTAAGCACACATGAAGTTTTATTTGGCAAATATTTATCGGCATATGCATCGATAGTCCCAATGGATGATTTATGGGGCATGTTTTTACATCTTAGCACAACGTGTGACATCAACCGAAGCATGACAAAACATTTTGGTTTAATTTTAACGCAGAAAATCGATAATACTCCACTCAAAACATTGACCAACTATTATCACTGTGTCAATAGATGTTTACAACACATTAAAGATGAAAGTCATGAACGTTTTTTGACACTCCTTGAAGCTGTACTTCATGCATTTCTGTACAAACAACTTAACAAAACGCAATACTCTCATCAATTCAAAGAGTCTGATTTAAAAGAATTCTTAAATATTGCTCTAGAATTGTCGTCGACATGTGATCTTAAACATCAATCTTGTTTACGTATTATCCAACATTTATTGTTCAAACTAGAGAACAATGCAATAACGAAGCCTACAAAAATCAAATATCTATTTGAAAGAGTGAATAACCTTGATGATAATTTATGTGAAAAAAATGATCCTGCTAGTATCATACAAGATGAATGGTTAAATGAATATATTTTTCATATGCCTCAAGATTGGTCGATGTTAAGCGAATATGATTATCAAGTTCTCAATAAAATTCATAGCAATAATCGTTGGTCAATTTATATTTGGTCGAAGCTTATTAGCCTGAGCCTTTCGAAAACAGAAGTTGATAAATGGAAGGAAACACTTGCAGAACTAAATGAATGGATGATCATTGTTAAACATGATATTTACGATCCCAATGACACATTAACAATTATTTTCGTTAAGAATATATTCGATATTGTTATTTCCAAGCATACAAAATCTTTATTGTCTGTTTGGAATATCGGAACGATTCTTAATTATATTCTATGTGGTAGACAAAGCAATCATAATTTATTGAATACAAAACAAGTGGATGATTTCATTCAAAATGTACATCATTCAATGCAGGATATTTTATCATTAAATAGTAAGCTTGATTTATCAAAATTGTTTATCAAAAAGTTATAGCCTTCAACAACTTGAAAGGAGATCAAGATAAATAAAAACTAATAAATCTTTTTCAGCCTAACTATTAATGGATGTGTTAGAAGACAAAAATTTCATTCTGAAATGAATAGATCTCTTGTTTTATACTAAATATAGTGTAGCCGACAAAAGTCTCCACCCACCCAGATCTCAGCTACCACAAGTACTGGAGGTCTGAAAATTTGTGTGCATACAATCCACCAAGAATTTAGATCATGGCCATGAGCTTGCTTTGATTGCTGACATACAACGAGAATTATAGCGGATGGTAATGGATAGCACTTCTTTTTTCCTTTGAAGTTTATATATCAGAAAAGAAAGGGCTTTATGAGACAGTTGATTCCTCATTATTCACAGCTATACTCTAGCTATCTACGCTATTAATTTCATCGAGGCCTATAAATCCGAACTAGAAGTGTGGACATTTCATTGTGACTATTTGAAGGGCGAAAAACTCCCTATTGCACTGTGTCGAGCATAATTGAATAATTCTTCAATAAATCGAGCTCAAACTTTTAGAGAAACTTTACTTGTAGCTGAGCATTATTGCTTACAACTTTCACGAAAGAAGCATGTTCGAAAGAGAAAAGGTGCGCCATGCATTATCGTGTTGGCGCCAACGACTCAGAGATCTCCAAAGACAGCAATTTTGCAATGAATAGCATGATCTTTTGAGTGAAGAAAGACCTTACACTACGCTTCATTTATATAGTAAAATATAGAAACTTAATCATGTATTTGATAAAAAGCGGTGCAAAATTTAGTGGGCAGTTTTTACAGGTCAAAAGTCTTGCATTAAAAAAAAATATTGCAATCATTATTATTCTTATTGCATCAAAGCAATCAGAGTAAGCTCATGACTCTGATATACATTCTTGATGGATTATATGCACACACATTTTCATACCTCCAGTACTTGTGGTAGCTGAGATTTGGGTGGGTGAAGACTTTTGTCGGCCACTATATATTGTTCGATTGCTCGTCACTGTGAATCAGATAGCTAGCAAAGCCTATCGAATTTGGCTTTCGGTAGTTTTTCTTTTAAAATTGTTTCTGACTTATGAGCGTTTATTCATGTAAAGTTTTACGGAGTTCTAAATTCTATGCAAGTATATTTCTCCCATAGAATTAAAGCCTGTTAGCGCAGCCCCTTTGGGGCTGAAATGTGGAACTCACGTATATACTTCAGCTGCATTATACTAATATGCAATATAGATAGTATAAAATCATGAATTTTTAATTTTCTGACAGGCACCCTTACTTTTCGCTTTCTTTGTTGCTGTTCGCTCAATATTTTTCATTTTTAACACTGCTTTCTTCTCTAATTTTACATTTTTATTATAAGAAGCATTCAATTATATGGCGAATGAAGCTATTATATATATATGTATATCCATTATTTGAAACCTGGTCGCTAAGGTCTGTAATGGAGACCTACGCTGCTATGGTCTGTAATGGGAGCCTCTCTGTAAGGGAGGGGGGAGAGCCGCGAAAACTTGAACTTAAAACTTACACTGACTATTTTCTTCGAAATTATACGTGAGTTCCACAAAATTAACCACATAAGTCTTGCTGTGTTATTATATGGTCAAGTTTGTATCGCTGGTGAAATAAATTCTGCAAATGTACAGGGGGCCTCAAAACTACCAGTAGTGTCAAACTTGAAACTTGAATTCAATTGAAATTTCAAGTTTCAAGTTTCAAGTTTCAATTTTCCAGTTTGTCCATACATGCCAAGCTTGAAAGTTAAATTCAGCTATTCAATTATTAAATGGTTGAAGTCCAAATATTCAACAACTGAATAATTCAACCATTGATTATGCCAAAAAAGGTTATGCCGAGTCCTGATCTGGGTACCGGAAAAGGTGGCTCACGCGAAAATACACACATACGGTTGAAACTTGAAACTTGAGGGTGTGGGTGTGGGTGTGCGTGTGGGGTGTGGGTGTGGCGTGGGTCTGTGTGGGTGTGAGTGTGGGTGTGGGTCTGGGTGTGGGTGTGGGTGTGCGTGTGGGGTGTGGGTGTGAGTGTGGGTATGGGTCTGGGTGTGGGTGTGCGTGTGGGTGTGCGTGTGGGGTGTGGGTGTGAGTGTGGGTGTGGGCGTGGGTCTGTGCGGGCGTGAGTGTGGGTCTGGGTCTGGGTGTGGGTGAGGGTGTACTATTCATTAACCTCCACAACCACACCCACACCCACACCCACACCCCACCCTCACACCCACCCACACCCACACCCATCCCTCACCCCACACCCACACCCCACACCCGCAAGATAGAGTACATTTTTCAAATTTGTTATGTCATGAAAATTCTATGTAGAGATGAAGTCAATGAAGAAGTTAGAAAAATCTTGTCATATCAATGGTCATACATAACTGCTATGTATCATTTAGCTTTTTATACATGTTAGCTACTAGCTATTTTCGCTGCTGATTCCTCTTTTAGATGGGGTGTGTGAGTGTGGATGTGGGTGATTGAAAGTCTGGTCTTCATTTACATTCACAACATGCCATCTCAAAATCTGTATCTTCATATTTGTGGAAGAAATTGGGGCATACAGAGATCTATTTTTTAGGCTCGTGATATAAAAGTAACTCTGAATGAATTTAACATTTGTATCTATATGCCCACATCCATATTTTCTTATTCAGCTGGATCGGTTGTTCTAAAACGAAAATAAATTTTTGACAGGGATCCTTAACTGTTTCTTAAACATAGTTCATATTCCATTTGAGATGATTGTCAAAATTATGTTTAAGCAAAAAGATCAGCTATTCACATCATAATTCATTCTACATGTTTTTAATTCCAAATAATAAATAACCATAGTTTAACATTTGAAATTTGATAAAAAAGAAATTTTAATTAATATATTAAATTGTTCGTCAAAAAACGACTACGATTCATCTGATTAAAGAAAGTTATTCTTCCAAAAAACATAAAAATGAAAGTTATATATGTACAATTTCATATCATTGCAATGATTGATGGTGGCGATAGAAATCTTTTTTTCAAAATTTCTTTCTAAATATCCAGTACATTGATAGGTTTTATAATTTAAACCAACGATGGCATCTTTTATAGAAAAGATATTGGTAAGAAATTATTTAGTCAATTTCAGAAAATTTTCACACACAAATATCTATTATTAGAATACTGCTAAAATAAATGAAAATGATCTCAAACTTTAATAGTGCATGATAGTTCGAATTTTATCTCAAAACTCAATCGCAAATGATAATTTAGCTAATCAATTCATATTCTGTATTCTAAATATGATCAATTTTCTTATTAATAATTTCAGATATAACTATCATTTTTATAGTGTATATCACATACTTTTTCTTCATCGCTTGAGTTATGCAATTAAATACTAGAAAGAAATGATCAACAGTTCGATATATAAGAATAAGTACATCTATTACCTACTGTTAATGGCTTTTGATGAAAAAAAAATATTACTCACAATAGATTTTAATTAGTACAAAAGAAGAACAAAGAATAACTATCTTAAACTCAGTTGTGCTTCATACTAATGCCACATTAAATTAGTAGCACGTATATATTCATCGTGATCCATGATGAGAGATGTTATCAAGTCGTCTCCAAGTTCCAAAATAAAAGGAGAAAGACATAACTCAAGTGTCTTTCATAGCCTGTGAAGTATGTCTATCAGGAGAGGAGGCGAAGTATATATCATGTGCTAGTGCATGAAAGCAGCTACAAAGTGAATATTTACTTTCTATTAAAGAGTTTTTGTTAAAATACATCTTATCACAAACAGTGACATTTTTTCTATTGTTGTTTAGCTTTTTTCTGTGCGTTCACTGTGGGTGAAGAATTAGATTTTCGATATCTACACTTTAATACTCATTTTTAAGAATCAAGAAATCTTTCCATTGTGTTAAGCAATGATTCGAAAGAAAAGAAAAGATCAAACTTATCGATTCTTGTGAATTAATATACTATTTAAAACAAATTGAATAAGAATTCTTTCATTATTCTTATTGCTAGTGTCTCTAGAGTTGTTACTATTTGAAGCTTCAAAAGTTGTGCGAGTCTCACATTTTATATCTTCGTAGAGCTGTATTAATAAACTTTTTTTCGAACGAAGTAGTTAGTTAATGGTTACATTAGCAACAGAGTAAGGTATGATCAGTTGTTACCGGTTAAATCGATTGAATTTTTTTCATTTTAGCTTGTTAGATGTGGATGCAATTCTTTTCTTTACTCACACTTAAAAAGTGTAGAAATTTTCAAAGTACTTGCTCCAGATTGACTTGAATATCAACTGGATGCAGTTCTTTTATTGTTCTCATACTGATTAATTTATATCATCAACTTATTTTTGTTTTGCTTTATAATATAGAAATCAAAGAACAACAAAACTATATTTGATTATATTTAACAGTAGTTTATATGCCATCATTTCGTCCATGGGAATTATAAACCTGTTTCGATAGCCTATCGGATTTTTTTCTAGAGAAAAATTTGTCGCTTTATCTCAAACGTAGACTATAGACGAAGTCTATTCGACGAATTTTTTCTCCTACGATTTCAGGATGACTTTGAAATCTAGAAAAACTTAAATACGATATTTCACTTATATAATTTATTTCGACGGTTAATAATGTATTCGATATATGTACATTCGATGAGTATATAATTCAGGAAGTTGATTGAAGACTGGAACATCTTGAAAAACTTCCTTATTCAACTTATCGTACTGAATCTTTAGGCCAGTAAAATCACGAAAAATGGGATCCAACATCTGGTTGATACACTTAAAACGAACAACTTCAGTTATTCTTCAAGCTAATTTCTGCAATGTATATATTCACCTTGTTTTAGCACAAACATGATAAACTTTTCTACTATCTTTTATCTTTAACATAATCATGAGAAATATTTTTAATTTTAACAACTTCTCTCCATTCTTATTGAACCTGAAATGTTACCTTTCAAATGATAGTGACCATATTCTGT